AAACACAAAAACCAAACCCAACTCTGAAACCAGCACTGCCATATGTCCCCAACCTGGAATGAGACCAGGGGAATTTTAGCTTAAAATAACTTGACTCTGGAAGAAATCTTTAAGAATTATTTTGGAAGGCACAATACCTTCTAGAATATGTTTGGGTTTTTTGAACACATATTTCAGAAAACAGCACAAAAGTTTGCTCTCAAGGCACATGCAGCTTCTCAGCAGTTTGCAAAACAGAAGCAGCAGGAGGTAAATAAACAAAGCGAGAATGGCAGAAAACAACTCAAGATGAGACGAGTTTTATGCAAAATGTAATCAGTGGGGACTTAGTTGGGAAAGTTGACAGTAAAGAGACTAAGTTTTTATGAGACTAAGTTTTTATTGAACTTGCTTTATCTTATGTTGCAAATATTTTAAAAGCAACACTTTAAATAATGAAAACGCCAGTTAATCATGGGCACTGATCACAGCCCTGATTTCAGTTAGCTTTTTCCCCACTCCACACACCCAAGAAATCATGTTTTCTTCCTCCCTCCCTCCCTCCCTTTGTCCCTCCCTACCTCTCTCCCTTCTTTCCTTCCATTGATTTTAGAGAGAGAGAGAAACATGGATGTGAGAGATATATATCGATCTGTTGCCTCCCATACAAGCCCTGACTGGGGATCGAACCCACAACCTAGGTTTATGCCCTGACCAGGATTGAACCCACAATCTTTTGGTGTACAGAATGACTCTCCAACCAACTGAGCCACACTGGCCAGGGCGATGTGTTGTTTTCTTGATGAACACCATTGGTCGACACACACACACACACACACACACACACACACACACACAGGAAAGAATGGTCTTTATTCCTGCAATATTAGAATTATGCATGCATTTGGAGATTATCTGGTCTCTAGCTACTGAGACTGGTCAGCAGGCCAGAAACATTGCCATCACCTAGACTCCTGGGCTACCTAGCTATTTAGTATCAGAATCCAAACAATGGTATTTCTCCTCCATCTAAAAATATAAAACAGAGTCAAGGGAACAGAGGATAAGGAGTGAGGAGATGGGGAGGGAGTACTTTACATAGGGTGATCAGTAAAGACCTTCCTGAAAAAGCCACTGAGTGAAGAGAGAAAGCAAGCCACATAAATAGCTGGGCAACTCAACTGTATTCTAGGCAGAGGAAGCAATGGGCTGGTGTGTGTGTGTGTGTGTGTGTGTGTGTGTGTGTGTGTGTGTGTGTTGGGGGGTGGTTATTTGTATTGGAGGAACAACAAGGAGTAGTGTTTCCAAATTCCCAACAGATATTAAAGAATCAAAATTGCCAGTGTTGTAATATAGCCCGCGAATCACACAAGGACGCCTCAAGAAGTCGATTTAAGGAGTCACATTTATTTTGAAGCCGGGACTACGAGGGGGCATTTTGCTCTCCAAATCTCTTAGTGGTTAAATGACCGCAACACCAGATTTATATAGGCAAAAATCACAAAGGTATTGATTACATCTCGGGATTAGGAATGAGAAACCTGGTTAGCAAAAAAGCAGTTTGTTACAAAAGCTAGATTGAGCCGATTAGTTATCTACAAAGATTAATTATAGTTTCCGGTCTTGGGACCACTGAGTCAAAAGGAACACATTATCTGGAGCCACTGAGACAATTTAGAGTAATTGTGCAGTCCTGGCCTCCAGGTACAGAGGAATGTGTTTTCTAAAACCAGTATGACCACAACCAATGGGGTATTCAAATTACAATCAATAGGGTATTCAATCGAATGGGATGATTTATATAATTCAGAAATCAAAATAACTTTTATATTATTTTAGCAAGCAAATAATGACAGAATCCAAGTCAGCAGGGTTAAAATATTAAACAGCTATTCCCACGAAGTATGGTTGCTACCATGCTTCACCAGGAGTTATCAACCCTTGTTATTCTAAAATACTTCCAACCACCTTCATACTCTTTTCTTGTTATCATGACTACCTGAAGCATTTGTTTAAAAAGTAAGACCTCTTAAATTTAGAAATATTTACAAGAATTGTCGCTTGTAGCAAATATTCAAATACTGGAGAATACAGAGACCATCTTTGGGTGTCATTTGAATAATGTAATATACAAATCTCCAAGCAAGGCTAACAGCTTTTCACAGAATCATGAGTTGGAAATTGCTGATTTAAGGACTTATTTTAAATCAAAACTTATTTCTTGGAACCACACTCATAGAATTTTTATAACGTATACAACGACAGGGCCAGGAACACATCCTTGTAACAACTCCAAGCACAACTGACCAATCAGACTGTGACCACATCTCTCCCAGATGCTGCTGTCCCAGATCCTGGAATGTTGACCTCAACTTCTGACTCAGAGTATCAGCCTTTCCTGCTCTCGCTTTCAACTCAATGTCAGTGGATTTCCTCAGTAACATCTCTGTGCTGATTGCTAAAGTTTAATTCTTATCGGAGAATTAGAATACTTTCTCCAGTTTTCCTGATTTCTCAGCTGATCTTTTTTTTTTTAATTTGGAAAAACATAAATTTCCTGAGAAACGCTGTATAGAAACACTAACCAGGAGGACAGTGAGGCTGAACCAAAGTGTGCCAGGAAAGGGTGGTAGAAACGGAGGTCTGAGAGAGAACAGAGGGCCTGGTCATTCAGGACTGCTGGGCATTGTAAAGACTGAGAAACGGGGAGCCCTAGAAAGGCCTGAGCAGAGAGTGACATGATTTGATTTAGGTTTAAAAAACGCATTATTCAGGCTGCTGTTTGAAAGCAGGAGAGTCAAGGGAGGCAACAGGAAAAGTTTATTGCAAAAATCTCACAGCGTCACCCACTGCCCCCCCCCCCACAAAAAAAAAAAAAAGACCCTCCCTGCCCCCACATTCACACACCC